GATCTCAGAATCTTATTCGGTCCGGGTCAACAACGCTATTCTACACTATTTTACGCCGTTTACAACGAGTAGCAAGGAAAGTATACTATCACTGGATGCAGAACGAAGAAAATACGCCAAACTTCCCTCTGCATCTTAGTCCATTGACAGTAATCCATAAATGCTACTATTTAACAGGACGGCAGGGAATGCATTTAAGCAGGGCGCAAAAAATGAAGCAATGAAAAAACCACGATGTCGAGCAATATTTCAGTTGATCCAGACCTCGGATCCACCCTACTTTATTATACTACGCAATCGTGTATCGGCAAGGAAGGCATTATCACTAGGAATCATAGTGTAATCAAACTTGGTGTGTAGTTACCTGTTTCCTACCCAGAGATTAGTACTCATTAATCAATCTACAAAGGAAGAAACGGCGAATGACAAAGAAGGGGCTTGAACCACGGGCCTCTCATATCTGAGTCCGACGTTTTAAAGACTAAGCAACCTCGGTCCAAAGCAACGTATGGCAAATCGGTAAAGCCAACGAAATTCGCGGTTCAGACAAAAACCATCGACTGCCATAATAGAACAATGTACAGAGAAAATATGGTAGACACAAGTAACAAAGATCAGTAGTTAAACAACTAAAATATTACAATGAATAAGTAAAGGAAAAGCAAGGAAAAAAATTGAAAAACAAAATGATAGTCATGAAACATGAAAAGGCTGAAAAAGGAGATAAACAAAAACGGGAAAGAAGAGATAAAAAAAATTAAATAGTGAAAACTGAATTCTTCCCAATGATACTGTACCTCGGTGAAAGAGAGTTTTGAAACTGAATTTCCGTGAAAACGAGGAATATGCTTCAAACGTGTTTCATCTACTTCGAATTCGAATCTTATCGTCAACTATCAAGTTTCGCCGTCAAATGTATTTTATTTGTTCCTCCTCTTCGTTTATTTAACCCTTTTTCATTATTTTTATCTTTCGTTTCTTATGCCTTTCATTTTCTTTCACCCATCTTCATTGCTTATGTTGCATTTCTTCGTTACACTGCTTCAGCAATTTACCTGCTGATCTTTATTAACGTCACTACGATGCCTCCGCTGAGAATTATTAATTTGTCTACGAGACAATGCTGTGCGTCGCAGTTTCACTTAATAAGTATAAACGTTTTTTTTCAATCTTTAAATCATCTCTTTTCTGTCCAAGGCTGATTTTGTTTCTTTTATTAAGAGGTTCACCTTAATAGCAATGTTCGTGTAGTGAACCACATCGACGGATAAGTGTTTTAAAAAAATATCGCTGCCAGGGAATAACCACCAGCAACAAGGATAAATGAAATAGCTAAATGAAATCAAATACCTGTGCTTCCTCGATACCCAGCTGAATCATTTCCAAAGACTTCTCGACAATGACTGCTTTCTCTTCGACCACGTTTGCTTCCTCATTGCTTTCTTTCAGGATCGACAAAGAATGTAGCAACCCATTTCGAATGGACGTGTGTTCGGCTTTCAGCGCGTCCAATCCTTGCACGACGGTCTTTGTGTTCTGAAGAATCTCCTCTTGAGATAAAGCAGTCATTTTTCCTATGTCTTCGATTTTCTTCCTGAAAAAAAGAAATAAGAGTCAAAAACCGGAAAGAATCACTCTGAAATAATAGAAATGTGTTGTTTTAAGGAAGTCTGCATCACAGCTGTTTCGAAATCATCACAAAACTATAGCCGTAAATGCTCAAGATTCCGGGTCAATGAAATGTGGCCCTGTGACCAATTAATAACTCCTTTGCACGGGACCGCTTTCTCTAGTCCGAGGACAGACCGCAGATCCGCATTACACTCAGAGCATGGCACCGTCAATTGAAATTCACAGGTACTAAGAATTTACTTTCCCTCACGTTATTGTCGTTATTGAATGATATCAAGCGGATCACAAAGCGGTGTTTGCACTATTGGAAAAACGAGGTTGAAGGCGAAAAGCGAGGACTCTTATTTCACATACACCTAGGAAGATATCATTTTCTTCAAAAATAACTTTTTCTTTATAATATCCGGTAATTATGAAGGAATTCGAAAATGGAGTTTTTCTTTGGTTTTTCAACGGTATTATACCCTACTAAGAGCTCCGACACCTCATCTCAATCTCTAGAACAAATATGTCACTATCATACTGTATAGCATCGTATGATCATCACTTGAACAATTAAAAAAGCTTCGGGAAGCATCATCGTTCCAATTGCTTACAGCTTTATATTCGCTTATAAATCAAGGTTTTCAAAACGCCAGTTTCACAGATCAAGATCTTGACTGAGGTACAAAGTTACGCTGAAGAGGCACGTTGCACTCTGGCAATTACTTTACATGGTTAAGTCATATCAAGTAAGATATTACACACAACTGATAGAAAAAGGGCATAAATGCGCGCACCGCATTAAAAATTCCATTTACTGCATGGAATGGCATGGAAAAACATATATCATTTGATTTAAATAATGGAAAATAAAAATATAATTACTGCCAATAACTTAAAAGGAATTACTAATACGAACTGAAATTAGTCAACAGTAATTAATTAATCACCTACCGCTAGCTTACATGAAAGACAAGCAAACCGCAGATCGTTCAAAAGCATAAGACATGTATTCGAAGGCGCGACATGACGCAGACCACAAACCACGAAGCTGAATAAGCTGACACGTTGACACACACGGTCGTCATGTTTACTTTACAACAATCAGCTTTGTTGAACACTGAGTCGCAGAAACCGGTTCATCACACGCGGTTGTTAACTATTCATAAGTGGGGTCACCTGCGGGGCCAAGCATTGTTCGAAAACCGTAAACTGTGACGGTTTGTGGTGAGGCCAGTTGGAAGCGTTTGAAGTCAAGCTTGACGACAGAAAACGAGAGATGTTTGGTATAAGTCATCGGATGATAGACGAAGAGACCGCGGAGAATATCTGTGTCCCTTCATTTCACTGACTGGTACTGATAGCGTTATTAATTATGTTTTCCGTTTACATCGTTATCATGTTCGAAATCATATTTGTGTACTTTCCTCTTCGTTCAAGATATCCTTCCGCTAGGCTAGTAGTTCGAAACTCATCTATCTTCAGTCTCGATCTCGAGGTACATTTCAATACCGCTGCTCTCATGGTCTGAGTGACCCTGCATTCATTCGAAATTGATCACGATCTCCTGCTCAGTCAGGATGGAAGGTATCCATGGAGACAAAAGGAAACTTCAAAAAACCTTAAACTCACTAACAGGACAAGCAGCATATACAAAGCATTATCACTGTAAGAAATCATGGGCCCTGGGAAGGGACATCGGATTGCTATCATGATCGGGAGAGTGGTGCTGCAACGCGTTATGTACGATTAATCGCAATGATGACCGTAACAGTACTTTACTACATAATACAATAGATCTTATACCAGAAGGGAATAGCAGAAAACAGGCAAGGACAGCATCAGAATAATGAATAAAAAGACGCAACAAAAAACAAACTAGAGTAAACATTACAAAAAAGCGAAATCAGAACTGGTCTACATTAAACATGTGCAAGCAGAGTGGCTCATGAGCGTTGGTAAAGACACCGAAATAACGGATTTACCGTAGAAGACCTTAATCCTTGAGTAAAAACTTCATACAATGAGATCTGGTGGCAGAGGGACGAGGATGATACTGCGTAAGGTCATCATACAGAGGATGCGTGCGCCTGTCGAGAATTTTCATACAGTGCTAACTTCAGGAGAAGACCGCCAAATCAGAAACCTCGTTAAAAGCAGATCATTAAACGGAAGGCCGCTACGGCCTCGAAATGAGAACTTCTTATTCGCTGGACCACGGGTACGAATTTTCGAAAATATAAAACGAAATCACTTAGCACATCAATATCAATTACTTCATTTCTAATGCACACCTAGGAAATTATAATTGTCCACTTTTTCAACAAAATAACGGCTTAAGCGAGACCGAAATTTTCTCCTTTATTCAGATATTTCAGCAACTTGCACAAAAGTCGTCATTAGCATATTGATGAATATTTCATACACATACTAGAGAAGGTGGAACAGTTGTAAAAAAGTCGACTTTAAACCCCAGCAGTACCAGCTCAGAATCTCGAGAGAGGACAAAAGTTGCATTAGCTGCTACTTCTGACAGGCAAGGAATTTACCCTCTCCTCCACCCCCTCAGAAAGATACTGGTTCGGAGCAACCTTCGGAGATACGAGTAGCAAATTGTTGACTTGCGAAAAAAACGCGAAAGTATGGCGTTCCGGTGTGGTCGGACCAGAATGAGGGAGACATACAACCGCTACATAGAATATACGACCCACTTAAGGGGCAATTCGCCTGAACCCAACCACTGATAGTGATTATTCAGTACAAGGCGTAGCGCCTATTCCTTAACGAAAAAACTATTTTATTTTCGCTAAAATATCTGTTTCCGGTTTCCCAACGAAAAAAACCGCATAAACGCGGCATATACGGCTAGAAATGGTAATCACTGATCGCCAACATGCCACATCACAGCCGGATTGGAGCAAGAATTTTGTGCAAATCAATGGAGAGAAAACACAACTTACAGCTAAAA